AAGCGGACAAAGGTATGGTAACTTTTTTAAAATTCGATTCTCAAATGCCTATAACTTGAAAATTATTATAGATAAATAGCAAAGGTATGCAAGTTTTATTAAGATCTAGCCGAGCGCTTTTCAAAAATATTTGAAATCGGATTCGAAACAATGTCAATGGTAGCCTACTTTGCGCCGTCCCTAGAGCATTTGTAAAGCTTTGAAATCGAAAGGGAAACAATGTTAAAGGTACTCCAATTTAAGCCGCCATAGCGTCACCCCTAGAACATTTGTATGTTCCATTTTCAAAACTTAAACTCGAATACTCCTTCAAAAAATATACAAATCTTTAAAATCGGAAGCAAAACAATATCAAAGGTACCCTACTTTGAGACCATATTTGAGGAATCCGAACTTAAACTCGGCTAATGTTAAATTTTATGCCGACCTTTAGAAATACCAGCTTTATTATAAAAAAATATTGATTCTACCCCACTGTGCATATGTAATTCGTCAGATAATGGTGCTTCCAAAACAAAGTCCAAAGCTCTCTTGATTTTAGAACAATATGTTAAATGTATGTTAAATGTAAATCGCAAATAATTAAAAACTTGTTAAAATTTTGGGTAAATTCATAAAATAAAACAATTTTAACATTGTTAATGAAATTTCTACAAATTTCTTTAAAAATAAAATAATTCAAAATTCTTAATGTTTTAAACGCCATAAAAAATGCCTCTACAAACAATAAACTGGCCCCCGACTTGTCTCATTACTGTCGTCGTCAAAGAAACGAACGAACCTACATCAACAACAAATTTATTTTGACGATAATGTATGAGCAATAGTCGTCATACGAAAAGAGAATGTTTATGAATAATTGTCATAATATTAATAATAATAATAAAAAAAAGAAAACAAATTGAGAGAATTTGAAGCAAATTTAAAATTAATTTTATTAAATTAACAAAAATACTATTACTTTTTCGTAATTTATTTAAATAAAACAATTAACCAGCTTTTTAGTATTGATTAAAAAAAAAACAACGAACAAATAAATTATCATCACTGATCGTTTACCGTAATTAACTCTCTGTAAATAATACAATTTTATAGGGTGGCAATCAAGGCTGCCAGATAATTTTGAGGAAATTAAACATGTGGGTGAAGTAAACTTTTAAAAGAACTTAAAACAAATCTATTTAAAATAATTTTTGACTTATAAAGGATTTACTTCAAAGGTGACACAAGGTACTAAGGTTCTATAGTTGAAACAAAAAGTCGACTTTACTACTTTTTATGTTGTATAAAAAGTCGACTTTTCGAACTTTTTTAATATCGACTTTTAACTTTTATTAGCAAAATCGATTCTTCGACTTTTTGTCGAAGGTGTTTTACCCAAATATTTGTAAATTTATTTCAGAACCATAAAATATCTTAAAACAGAGTTTAAAATTTGAAAGTTATTTGGAGTTTCCATGCTTTACTTATCAAAATAAATAAAGAATTGCAATGTTAAATTAAGGTAGAAAAATCGCCAAATCTGGCAGGCCTTTGTGTTGTTTTTTCTTTTGCTTTTTTTTTTAACCAATCAAAATTGATTTTTCTTTTAAGTAGAGGCTTCACTGAGAGAGCGTTAAGTTAAAGACTATTGATACAACATTGTTTTTTTTTTTTGTTGAAATTTCAATAAGTTTTTGTTGTTGGTTTTTTATCTCAATTTTCTTTACACACCTGCTAGAGGGGTGAGTTACATTTACGCGACTGTCATTGGTTGATGGTGTAATAAAGTTTTGTTTATAGTTGTAAATTTACACTGTAATTCATTTAAAAAGAAATATAAAATGGAGTTTGCTGTGGTTATTTTTTTAATTTTAAATAAAATGAAAAGAAATAGGGAAACTTATCAAGGGTAAAATGAAAAAGTTAAAATTTTCTAAAGGTTACAAGAATAATTTAGTAGAACATTTTTTTATTTTATATTCAGCGTCAAAATCGTATCAAAAGATAATTTTAATCCCCATTAAGTCCTTCGCTGCTTCAAACTTACATATTTATGTATGTATATCTCCAAAGAATCTTCGTTTCCTCATGTATATAGTTGGTTTTTTGACGAGATTTGCAAGAAGTCTGTAATAGTCCTAAAGATATCAATTTGCTGCTTTGTATACATTAATCCTTTTTCCTTTTCTAATCCTTCTTTCTTTTCAAATCCTCTTTTTCCTTTTCAAATCCTTTTTGTACTTTGTAAATAGGTACAAGATTAAAGTGACATAAGATCGTGAAAGTTGAACAATGAAGATGATTGGTTCGGCACCATCTTTCAGATGAAGAAAAGTGTTGGTCCTAAAACTTCCCCGATAATTGTGGTTTTCGTGATATAGTCTTCTAAACCTTATTTAAGACATTATAACAGAGTATAGACATATATGTTTATGTCAACTGAATGAACAATTTATCGACTTTAAAATAAAGTCTTAACCTCTGGTAGATCTACCTAATTTTTCGAGATATCTTAACCTAAAACCTGAAAGAAAATTCAATATAGACTTTATATTACGACAAAAACTTCAACAGACGATATCTCAGCAAATATAAGAGATTTTTAAACTAAAGTTTGAAAGTCGCATATATTGGATGCGTTTTTCAAACTTTAGGACTTGATGTGTCAAAAACCTAATAAGATGGAGACCTGATTTGAGTTCGGGACAACTCAATCCTTTAGAAAAGTATACTGTTTCTAAGTGTTCAACATTCGCCTGTATAATCCGTCGAAGATCACATCCTCTCTTTGTTGATGTGTAGGGAGTACATAGATTTAGTAGTTATAATATAGGGATAATAGGACTCCGTCTCGGAGAACTTCTTGATTGGAAAAATTACGAAATTACGAATTAGCGAAAATCCTATAACTATGATCCTGCAAAGTACTCAATAATATAGAATTCTATTTAAAATCGGTGGTCTCTGCTGTGAACTCGATACTCTTTACCGGTGAGCCAGAGACAATTGACGACATAAAAGACATTATTCGCCACTTCGACAATCAAGCCAATTTAAAAAAAAAAAAGAAAATTTTCAAAACATGATCATAGTACGTTCACTTTGACCTCACTGATCTATACTTGAATCAAGTATTATGTATTTGGTTAAAGGAAAATCGTACTTAGCGTACTTCTGATACCGCTCCGGATAGATTTGAGTACGGACTACTCAATTCTTCTTTATCGCAATTTTATGTCATTTTGAAATCAGTTGACAGCATTGTTCGACATGTTTTGATTGTTTTCGCACAATGTTTATTAACAAGTGCAAATTAAGTGCAAAAAAATTAGGTCAATAGATAAAGAGAAACTGATTTAAGTAAATCGCTTAAAATTTATTCTCAAAAAAGGTTTTCATAATTGCTAAAAAATAAAAATTTTAATTATTTTTTATTTTCGATTGAGAACTATACCTACATGGGATTCTTAAAATGGCTGTTCATCGACACCCTCTAATGTACAAGCAATTTGCTTAAGTACTCGAGCTATCGATCTTCTGAGCATTGCTGCGCGATACCCATTAAATAAGGCAATATTCTGGTATTGATAGAGTAACATACCCTAAAGGTGGAAGTACACAACACGCGTTGTACGCGGCAACGCGGTTATAGGCTTCTGTCAAAAAAAGTTGAAATAATGTATTTTCATTTAACCAGTTACACATTGTAGTTTGTAACGCGTCTGCAGCGAAAAGTTAAGCAACTTTTAACTTTTGACGCATCGGCAGCTGATCAGGGTTGTATTTTGTTTTGTGTAGAATGAGAATAAACTAAAATGAAATACATTTCTTCAACAATGGAAGAAAAATATTAAAAAGTATACAAAAACTTAAAATTTTGATTTTGAAAAGAGTAGTAGTCTTAAAAAACATTAAAAGAGATATCAAAATTACGCGTGGTGTGTAACTTGCGCTTATAAAGCGCGAAAAGTTTGAAAAGGGTGAAACGCTTTGCCGCCTCAACGCGTGTTGTGTACTTTCATCTTAATACGTTACTCAACCCGAAGGGACCTCTTCAATAACCGGAATAATACAAAGTCTGAAACTCTGCCTGTGGGCTACTGTTTCCCATGGTACTCGATTATATTGCTCTCTGGTTCGAACCCAGGTGAAATTATTCCAAGGAAAGGCCGTGGATACATTTAACACCGCCGGTTTATAGTCCCGGAAAATTAGAGGTATTAGGTGATACTAATATCTCTAATTTCTGTCCATACAAGACTCATTGTGATAAGTCTGGTATGGACAGAGTAACTCACCCTGATAAGGATATGTTACTCTGAGGTCAAGTGTATAATACTTGACATCAACCCGAAGGTACCTCTTCAATAACCGGAATAATACAAAGTCAAAAACTCTGCCAGTGGGCTACTGTTTCCCGCTCTCTGGTCGAACCCAGGTGATATCATTCCAAGTAAAGTTGGAGGATACATTTAACACCACCGGTTTATAGTCCCGGCAGACTAGAGGTACTAGTAGCACCTCTATTCCCCCGGATGGCAATCACACCAAGATGGGGGGAAGTTCATCAAGGTAATATGCCCCGGGGAGGAACTAATTGCTACATATTTTGCCCAAAAAATTAATAGTGAATTCTAGAAATCTTGTAAAATGTTCAAAATTAAGCAATGTCCTCTTTTGTCAGCTAAAAATCTGTGTTTGTATGACTACTTTACTATCAACTTCCGGTTAAATTTTATCTAAATCTATTACTAAGCTTTTTAGAACAAAAATGAGTATTATTTTATTTAGCTAATATACCGCTCTAATAGCAAAATTTTATTTTATAAAAAAAATTTAAAGAGCAAAAATAAAAGAGTAAAATATTTTAACTCTTAAATTGAATTCAACAATTTTTACTCTTTATTTTCTATTTAAACTAAAAATTTATTGTATTTGTTTAACGACTGAACGAACAAGTGCGTTTTCTGTATGTTTTTTTTTTTCTTTAAAATTTTATATTTTCAGTTCACCGATCTCTACCGAGGTGATCGTTTTGAAATATATTCAATTCAACAATTATCGGCTGTTCACGTTCGTTACAAATACAATAGACTAGCAGTAGTAGTAGTAGTAGTACCTATAGTATTTTTTTGATGAAGAAACCACCTCTTCAACATCGAAATCATCAGAAATTTACTACTATTTCTTTTCGGTTTATATTTAAAATTTTCGTGTTTACCATTACAGTTTAACCGTTACTTACATACAAAAACAAACTACAAGTATTTATTTGTTTTTGTTTTAGTGCGTGCCTAGTGTAAACGTGTATTTTGTTGTTTACATTTTACAAGTTTATTATGTTTTGTTGTTTTCGAGTGATAAATAAAGTCAACCATGTAATAACAATAGCAACAACAACAACTACAACAACGATGCAATGCATATCATTATGTTGAGAAAAAAAAGTAAACAATAATATTTTAAACAACCACAACAACAACATTTAGAAGAGTAGCAGTGTAATAATCATAACAAAGATATTCATTTATGTTTTTGTCTAATTCGTGCGTGTGTGTGTGTATTTGACGTAAGTCTCTCTTTCAGCCTACCTCTCACCACCCCCTCCCTGTTTATTTTCAAAACAAACACACTATCAAATTTAATACAAAAAGTAAACATCATCATCTTCGTCACAAACTTCATCATCGTGTGATCATCATGTGTGTTTCTTGTCTAATTTATTTTATTTTTTGATGAATCTAGAGAAGAAGTAAATAAATAAAATAAATAATAAATTGAAGAAAAAAAATGTACCAGAAATATTTTTATTTAACTACTCGTATTGTGTTCATAAATTATTATTATTATTAATTTTTTTACATAATTTTTTTTTGTGAAAATTTGTTGTTTTATTTTTTGGTGTTAAGTTAGTGAATAGCGCGAAATTTTGTGTTGGAAAAAATTAATGCAATTTTTTTTTTTATAATTTTTTGAAATTTTTTTTTAAACTAAACTTAATCAAATCGATTGTTTATTCTTCAAAAGTGTTTGAAATGTGTTTTATATGGAAGAAAATTTTTCAACAATTAAATATTTTCAAAATTTTTTAAAAATTTAAGTGAAAATTATTATTAAAATAAAAATGAGAAGATAATTATTTAGAAAATTTTGGAAATGATTTTAACATATTTTTTTTATAAATTTTGTTTTAAAATTAATTATGAGAAATCGGAAAAATTATTAAAGTATGTAATATAAATAGGTCAGTAATTTCCAAATCGTTTGTCCGAAATTTAGCAATATGTACTCCTCTGACATTTTGCATTTATGCTTGAACCAACTTTCCTTAAGCGAAGCACACAATCCGGTCGAAAATCGAGAATTTCGTGCTTGATTTTGGGCTGCAGTTGCCATGGACTTGCGACAAACCTCACGACTGTCCCTTCATCTTGTTAAAGTGTTTCGTTGGTTAGTTCGTTAGTTAGTTAGTTAGTTAGTTAGTTAGTTAGTTAGTTAGTTAGTTAGTTAGTTAGTTAGTTAGTTATTTAGTTAGTTAGTTAGTTAGTTAGTTAGTTAGTTAGTTAGTTAGTAGTTAGTTAGTTAGTTAGTTAGTTAGTTAGTTAGTTAGTTAGTTAGTTAGTTAGTTAGTTAGTTAGTTAGTTAGTTAGTTAGTTAGTTAGTTAGTTAGTTAGTTAGTTAGTTAGTTAGTTAGTTAGTTAGTTAGTTAGTTAGTTAGTTAGTTAGTAGTTAGTTAGTTAGTAGTTAGTTAGTTAGTAGTTAGTTAGTTAGTTAGTTAGTTAGTTAGTTAGTTAGTTAGTTAGTAGTTAGTTAGTTAGTTAGTTAGTTAGTTAGTTAGTTAGTTAGTTAGTTAGTTAGTTAGTTAGTTAGTTAGTTAGTTAGTTAGTTAGTTAGTTAGTTAGTTAGTTAGTTAGTTAGTTAGTTAGTTAGTTAGTTAGTTAGTTAGTTAGTTAGTAGTTAGTTAGTTAGTTAGTTAGTTAGTTAGTTAGTTAGTTAGTTAGTTAGTTAGTTAGTTAGTTAGTTAGTTAGTTAGTAGTAGTTAGTTAGTAAGTAAGTTAGTAGTTAGTTAGTAAGTTAGTTCACTACCACACACTCTCTTCACCAGAAACCAGAATCAAACCCACCACATCCGGTCTGTCACACGAAACAGGAGATCGGCTAACCAACCGAAGGCTTGTGTTTCAATGTAAATTTTTGATTTGGTTCATATTAAACGCTCTTTTCAAATTACACCTTTTCGAACCAGGCTTCGATTAATTTTAACTTTAATTAATACATAAAACATTTTCTGTTATTTTATAGTAAAATTTTGACACTTTTCTGTTCGATCTAATTAATATGAACTCAAATAAAGGCACGTATTTGTATTTTCCAATTGTAAGGTTTATAACAATAAAAAAACATTCTAGATTTAAACTTTAAAACTCGGAGAAGAAATCAATTATCTTTCAATTACATTAAAGTACTTTAACTTTGATTTACTTCTACAATCGTTAAATTGTGCTCACTCCAAGTCTCTCTTTTCAGCGCTCTCCATACAATTTGTTTACTTATTGATTATCTGTTTACAAATGTGCTAAAATAAAAATTACTGACCGATCATTAACATCAAGATCGTTTAAAAAGAGGTTGGTTTGTTGCTTTTCGTTGTCATCGTCGTCGTCAATATTTTAATCAATACAACGTTGATCATGATGACGAAGACGGCGATCATTATTAGCATCCACTCTCACTTAATGATCATTGTTGGTTGTCGGTTTTTTTTGCTGTTTTCATTTAACTTTAGTCGTTTTCTTCATTATTACAATTCACCATAAGGTTTAATAAATTTTTTCTCATTGTTCATTTATTTTTTTTTGTCATTTAAGAAGTTTATCTTATCGCATGCGGTCCGTGCTGCGTTCGCAAAACGCGTTCTTTACTCTCTTTTAGTAACAGTCTAGTAGTCAAACAGTCGTCATTGTCGTAATAATAAACTTAACTTTTCGTCGATGTAGTGAAAAAAGTATCATAGTAAAACTAAAAGTAGTCGTTATTTGCAAGTGTCTTTCTGCGTATGTAGGTACGCTTCAAATTGAATCAAAAACTATTTTGAATATAAGATTTTTTTTTTCTATGTGCGTTTGTTATTGTTAATAATACGCTAATTTAAATTGAATAAATTTTTCATAACAACGATTTTAATTTAAACACTTCAATATTCTACTACAATTGTGAATTGTGAATACAAAAAACGAGACGTATTTATTTAAACAACTAGAGAAGGAGAAGAACTTAAAAGGAGAAAACTTTAAACTAAAAAAAAAAAAAAATTAAAGTGCTGAGTATTAAGATTCTTTACTCGCGAGCGTTTCGTTAGTTACTCTACATTTAGTTAGTTAGTAAATTGAAATCCTCTTCTAGTGTGAGTGCGAGACTGAAGTGATGATGATGTTTATTTTATCTGGATTCTTATTTTTTTTAATTAAATAAAAAAATTTATTTTTTAAACATGTTTAAAAATTCGTATGTCAAAATAGTATATTTAACACAACAACCAACAACACTACCTTCCACTAAGTGCTACGAACAACAACATTACTACCACAAACAACAATCGTACTCTAATAACTGCTTTAACTCTGTGTTCATTATAATCTCTGGCGAGTACACTACAATACAATAACAAACTTCATAAAATATATTAATAAAAAAAAAAATTCGTTAAAATTAAATATTTTAAATAAAACTCCGTCGGTGGCGCGCGTTCTATTAAAATAAAAAGAAGCCGTAGTTAAAATTTGAATTACAGTGTTAATTACTTACTACATGCCTACTACCAACACACAAAACACAACAAAAACAACAACAATAAAAACACCTTCATTTAATTTGAATAAAATTCAATTTAATGTAAATAAAATTTTAAGAGAAATGTCTATAAAATATTTGCTAAAATCAAAAATTTCATAAATAAATACAAAAGCAACAACAACAACAACAAGAAAACAAAACAAACAGGAATTCCTACGAAAGAAGTCAGTCAGTCATTGCAAAGTGATCTGATCCTATTCTAAAATAATACACAGTGAGAAATACAAAAAAAAATAACAAGAAAAGGAATGAAGTGCTCTTTTTTTTAAAGAAAAAATAAGTGTAAAAAATTTATTTAAATATTTGTGATTTCTATAAAAATTTCAACAATTTGCTTTTGTTAAGCAACGTGTAAAGAAGTGATTTTTATAAATTTACAACAAGAAAAAAATAATTTTTTTTAACAAATTATTTTGTAATAATTTTTAAAACAAATATTAAAACATAGAAATAAAAAGGTAAAACAGCGGCAAACAACAAAATTATTAAAAAATATTTTAATAAAAAAAAATATTTCAATAAAATAAAAAAAAATACAAAACAACAAAAATTTATAAATATATAAAAAAATTTCAATTTTTAAAATTTTAAAAATTTTGCAAAATTTGCATTTTAATGTTTAAAACAAACATTTAAAATATTTAGAAAAAATATTACAATTTTAAGTTTTTTTTTTTTTTAAATTAACTCACATTTTTCGTTTGGCTAATTATCACAAACTGTCCTTGCCCACTTACGATAAATTGGGCGTGTTCAACATATAAATAAAAACATTTTATAAAATTATTTTAAACTACAAAAAAGTGTTCGAAAATAGTTTAAGTAATAGTTTTAACAAAAATTTAAATTTTATAAAAAATTCTGAAATTCTAAATTTTTATAAATTTTATTTCAAATTTAAAAAAGTTTAAAATTTTTAAATATTTGCTGAGAACAACTAAACTTTTGGTTTCTCTTAGTTGCAAAGTGTTTTGTAAAAGTGTTTGAAGTTAATTTTTAACTTTTCAATAATTTTAAAAAAATTTTCAATAAAATTTTTTATATTATGGAAAGAGAAGATATGCTGCCTTAGAGAAAAAAAAAATACTTGATAATTGTGCCCAAATAGTGCGAAAAAAATTAAAAACAATTAAGGCAGAACAAACATTTCTTTTGTGTCAAAAAGTCTAGTTTTTATGTCGAAATTCAATTTTTTTTTAAACTGATTCCCACTCAGTATGTCATAACGGTGATAAATATTAAATTAAATTATTCCATCAGGATTCTGTCTGATTTTACGTTTCTAGGTTTAATAATTCATAAAACTAAAAAGTACCTTTTAAATGACAAAAAAGTACCAGATTTATAGATTTTTCTAGTTTCAATATTAAAAAATTTCAATTCTAGTTTCAATATTAAAAAATATACAAAAAGTACCAGTTGCATAACAAAAAGTACCAAAAACTTCAACCCTATAAATTTCCATTCCATCAGGACTCTATATGTCTGATTATATATTTCTAGGTTCTATATTGCAGAAAAACAAAAAAGTACATTTCGAATGAAAAAAAAAGTACCAAAAACTTCCCTTTTATAGATTTTTATTCAAACAATATGTTGTGTGTTTAATTTTGCATTTCTAGTTTCAATATTATAAAGTATACAAAAAGTACCAGTTGCAGAACAAAAAGTACCAAAAAATTCCCTCTTATAGATTTCCATTCCTTCAGGATCCTATGTGTCTGATTAAGTGTTTCTGGGTTCAATATTGCACAAAAACAAAAAAGTACATTTTTAATGACATATTATATGATTCTGAGTTCAATCTTGCAGAATATACAAAAAGTACCAGTTGAAGAAGGCAAAAGTATCAAAAATCTTTTCCTAAAAATTTTCATTCAAACAGAACTCTGAATGTTTAAATTTAAGTTTCTATATTCAATATTATAGAAAATCGAAAAAGTACCTTTTGAATAACAAAAAAGTACTAAAAAGATCCCTTTCATAGATTTTCAATCAATCAGTATGCTGTTTGTTTAATTTTGCGTTTTTAGTTTCAAAATTATAAAATATACAAAAAAGTACCAGTTGCAGAACAAAAAGTACCAAACAAATTCACTCTTATAGATTTTCATTCCATGAGGATTCTATATGTCTGATTATATATTTCTAGGTTTAATATTGCAGAAAAGCCAAAAAGTACCAATTGAAAAACGAAAAATTACCAAAAATCATTAACAACAGATTTTCATTCCCTAAGGACTCTGTATGTTCCCAAATTCAATATTATAGAATATTCAAAAAGTACCTTTTGAAGAACGAAAAAGTAGCAGAAAAGTTCTCTTTATAGATTTTATTTTAACAATATGCTGCATGTTTAATTTTGCGATTCTACTTTCAATATTATTAAAGACTCAAAAAGTACCAGTTGAAGAAAAAAAATTACCATAAACTTTAATCTTATAGATTTTCATTCCTTCAGAATCCTATATTTTTGATTTCATGTTTCAAGGTTCAATATTAAAGAAAAACCAAAAAGTACTAGCAAAAACGAAAAAGTACCAAACATTTTTTCCTACAGATTTTCATTCACTTAGAACTTTGAATGTTCCACTTTAAGTTTCTACATTCAATATTATAGACAATTCAAAAAGTACCTTTTGAAGAAGGAAAAAGTATCAAAAAGTCCCATCTTATATGTTTTCATTTCCTCCGGGTTCTACATGCTTAATTTCATGTTTCTAGGTTCAATATTATAGAAAATTCAAAAAGTACCTGTATAATAACAAAAAAAGTACCAAAAATATATATCTTGATACCAACAGTTACCCATTCCCTATTAATTTTTGAAATTGCAAAGTTTTTTTTTAATTTTTTTATAAATTTTTATTTTTTCCATCCCTGATTAATTTCCCATACACAACTTTCCATCTCTGATTTTGATACTAACAACACCATTAAGTTTTTTTAATTTTAAAATAATTTGTTAATTTTTTATTTATTTTTTTAACGTTCCTGCTTAATTTTACACACACAACTTTCCATCTCTGGCTGTAACAAAACAATAACGTATTTTGTTGTTCTTGCTTTCTTAGGCTTTTATAAACAAGAACAACATTTACTAAAATAAGCGGCCTGAAGTCTGATACTTTTTCCAAATTCGCTTATTTTTAGGATTAAATGGGTAAAAACTTCTGGTAATCATAGTTTACTTTCAGATTTTTGCCCTCAACTTTTAATAAAACTTCCTTTTATTATTATTTAAAAACCCATTAAAATTTAACTTGTTTTAAAACCACGTTTCTAGAAAATTTCCTTTTTACTACAAATAAAAAAAGTTGTTGGTGATTGTTGTTAAACTTTTCAAGGTATACAACATCCTTATTTAACTTTGTTTTTTTATTACTTTAATACTTAACAGTAACTAAAAACAATAACAATTACATTTTCTGAAATATACAAACCAAACCAAAAAAACAACTGAAATATTTTTGCTCTGATTTCTCATTTCTGGTTGTTTTTTTAACTAAAACAAAACTTAAATGGACATAATCATCTTTATTATGAGGATAATGATCATTATTATTGTTATCATGACGATGATGAACGTCATCTTACTCTTAGTTTAGTTGGTTGTTTCATTTATACTTATATAAGTAAAAACAACAACAACTTTTATTTTCCTTTAACTTGTTGCATTCTTCAATATTTAATTTTGTTATACATAAACACATAGTACATACTTACATATGGATTCATGTAAAAATGTAGGAGTATGTGTTAAAATGTTAAATACTTACATCTACTGTTATGTTTACATTTTATTATACATTTATATAAAAATGTATAAAATATAATGCTTAAATATTTATATAGTCAAGAGAGGAGATATTTTATTGTTATTTTTGAAATGCAACAACAACAACAAAAATCAACAATAATAAAAAAAAAGAATGTACAATGGCCTCAATACAGCTATGTTAAAGTATTTGTTCTTTGTTTACATATTTCATATTGAAATTTACAGTTATTTGTATAAAATGCGTTAAAATGGAAGAATATTAGACTACAACAGAGTTGCTTTAAATTGTAGTGATAAAAAAGGTTTTTAGTTTTTAATGAATTGATTCTTTCAAATGTTTACGTTTTACATATTATTTATGTATTTGTGCTTGTCTGTACATATGTGTATTGTAATGTAATTTGTTTGGCATTTAGGTTTTCTTTCCTGGACTTTGAACTTGAAAAAGTTCAAAAATCTTTTTTCTTTAAAGAGAACAAATCAGGGATCGTAATGGTACTTTTCTTTTAGCTGGGCCATAAAGTATTTGAAATGGAAAATAAGGGGTCATAACCTAGCAGTCCGACAAAGAATCAATGCATCCGTAAAAGACAGTGATTACCACTAACGTCTAACCACTTGGTTGGCTTTAATTCGCCATTCGTCATGGATGTACCCTTTGTAAACGTAGGTGAAGATAATCGCCACTTTGGTGTCCCCTTTGTAAGCAACTGTCCGACGGAACTGTTGGAAACTTAAATGGCATTAAAAAAAATTTGCTATATAAAGCCAAATGCCTACAGGAAAAAAACTGTTATACAACCATTTTTCCATAATTAAACTGTTATACTAAAAATGTTTGTCCTGAAAAGAGTTTATGAAAAGTTATATGAATTTAAAGCCAAAAGATAAAAACTGTTATACAAAAACTTTTTCTATAAATAAACAGTTATACTATAACCATTTTTCATCAAAACAACTTTTATATGAATTTTCTAATGAAAAACTGTTATAAAAATAATTTGTTTAAAGAAAATTGCTATATAAAGCCAAATGCCTACATATAAAAACTGTTATACTAAAACTATTTTTCAGGAAAACAACTGTTATATAAATTTTCTAATAAAAAACTATATAAAAAAAAGTTTGTATAGAAAAACTGTAATACAAATAATTTGTTTACAAAAAACTGTTATACAAAAATTATTCAATAGATAAACGTTTTCACACATTATCTACAAAAAAATTGTTATAAAAAAAAAATTCTATAGGTAAAAAAAACTGTTATACTGTAAATTTTCTATAATACAAACTGTTATACGAAAAATTGTTACTTGAAAAAACTGCTATAAAAAATATTTCTATAGAAAACTAATACAGAAAATTGTTATACTTCAAATTTTCTAAAATACAAACTGTTATACGAAACATTTTTTGTTGAAAACATCTATAACATATATTTCTATAGAAAAACTTAAATACGGAAACTTGAATAACTGTTATACGAAAAAAATTTTAGTAAAAAAACTGTTATACCGAG